CCCCGGCCCCGCCCCCGCCCGGAGCTCACGAGCTCGGCCTCTGCCGGCCTTGCAGCAATTGGCGGAACCAGCGTACGCAGGCCTGCACGCTGTTGGAGGTGTGCGCGCCGTCCAGGTACCAGGTGAGCGGCCCTCGTCGCAGCACCTGCGTCCGGCCCAGCCACTCCGTGTCCCGCAGCCCTGGGAGAGGGGCCAAGCAGCCCTCTAGCACGGCTGCAGGGAAGCCCCTCTCTCTGCTTCCACCCCAGGCCCCAGTCCTCAGCATCCTCCCAACACACGCCTGTTACCGGGCACCAGGCACAGGGATCAGCTCTTGGGCGGCCTCCTCTGGTGGAGTGTCACAAGCAACCCAGAGGGGGCGACAGGGTTAGTCCCCCTTGACCAGGCGGCAGAGGGCCCTTAGCTGGGGCAGGTCGCAGAAGAGGAGAGTCTGGGGCTGGGGTGGGGTCTGCCTGGTGTCAGGGCTTTGTCAGGGCTGACACGGGGCCTGGCACACAGGAACCATTTGCCAAAGGGTGTGATTTCACAGCCCTGGGCGCCAACATGTGCTGAAAGCTTTGGGAGAAGCAAGAAGCCTGATGATGTCACCACCCTCAAGAACCTCATGGTGGATGATGATCATGACATTAGCAGCAGGTGGCCCTGGCTGGGTTCTTGGTTCTAGAACCTCCAGGCTCTGGCTCAGTCCCTAGTGACGTGTCCTGGTGGTGGGCCCCAGCATCATCTGGGGGAGCAGACTCAAGAGGTCACGAATGCAAGGTCAGGGGAGCTCATGAGTTTCAGAGCCCCTTCTCTTGGCACCGCCTCGCACTGCCCACCCCACAGACAGGGAGAAAGCTCCCGCTCACCCTGCCGCATGTGGGCCGTGGGCTGGAACACAGGCGCCAGGGGCAGCTGCCCTGCGTGGCTCTGCCTGGACGATGCCGTCAGCTCCCGGATGCCTGCGGTGGGCAGGGGTGCAGAGAAGCCGTGTGCTCAGGGCCCTGAGAAGCCGGCTCCACATTCTCCTGCCCCCCCCAGGCCCCCGCTCGCCTGCCCACCTACCTTGGTGGTCCTGCTGCTGCAGCCAGCAGCGAGCCAACTGCAAGGCCAAGGCGGCATTAGACCGCTGGTGCTCTCCCTGCAGGCCCAGGGCCAGAGGCAAGCCGCCTTCCTCCAGGACTTCCAGCGGCGGGCACAGGTAAAGCGGACACTGCAGGGAGACAGGCAGCCGCTTTCCAGCCGCCTGATGCCCAGGCGTCCGTCTGTCCCCAGCAGCCACGCCCATGAAGCCCTGCCCCTCAAACAAGAGGTGCCCAGCCACCTGAGCCCTGGCCCGGCACTCCACGCACTCACCGAGACCTGCTGGGCACGGTCCCTCAGCACCGCCAGGGGGCCGTCAGGCTGGAGCACGGTGAAGGCGGGGACGCCACGCTGTGAAGGCTGGAGGGTGAGACGGTGCCGGGCGTCCACCAGCCCTCCCTGGGCCCCCATCCCTAGCCCCAACCTCCCAGCCCAGGAACAGGGTCCTCCTGGTCCTTTGTTTTGCTGGGAAGAAGGCTCAGGGGAGGGCTCAACTTGCTGATGGTGCTCAAGACCCCATCCTGAGTCAGGGTACAACGACCCCATCCCAGCCCCAGTTCCCGGGGCGGCCATGTCCTTCCCCTCTCCCAGCATCCCGGTCACCTTGAAGATGCCCCCTTTCTGCCACGCGATCTTCTCTATTGTGTCCCCCAGAAGGCTGGTGTGGTCAAGGCCAAGAGAGGAGACCCCGCACACCACAGGCTTCCTGCAGATGAGAGGCCATGATGACCCCACTGGGCCCCCCAGACCCCCGCCGCCACCTTCTCCTCAGGCAGCTGCCCTCAGCTCACCTGATGATATTGGTGCAGTCATAGGCGCCGCCAATACCCACCTCCACCACTGCCAGGTCCACCTGCAGAGGCCATGGCAGGGGTCACCAGGGCACCCAGATGCCACCTGACTCAGGCCCAGGGTCGAGGGGAGTGAGTACACACCTTCTCTTGGAGGAAGACATGGAAGGCCATGAGCGTGAGGAAGCGGAAGTAGGCAGGCATGGACACACAGCTGCTGTCGTCCTGGGGACAGGAACACGTCAGTGCCCAGGGCCCCCACAGCCTCTGCTGCAGGAGATGGGGTTCTGGGACATGCAGCGCCCTCTGGGTCCATCCACCCACTCAATGACACCCCCCACCACCACCACCCTTCTGCTTGGGGCACCTTGGTCTCCTCCAGCTGTTGGTAAAGGTGCCAGAAGTGCTTGGTGAAGAGCTCGGGGCTGATGGGCTGCCCGTTGATGCGGATTCGCTCACGTACCTGCACCAGGTGGGGAGAGCTGCCGGGAAACCTGGGGTCACTGGGACACTCTTTTCCATCCCCCAACCCCAGGCAGATTTGTCTTTTGCAAACACAGATCTGACCACATCACTCCCCTGCTGAAAACCCTCCCATGATCCCCCTGGCCCTCAGGAAGGCCCTCGCCAGCTCCTCACTGGGCTTCCCAAGTCCTGCGAGGCAGATGCCCTGGCCGCTGAGCCTCGCCTCTCCCGAGGCATAACCTGCACCCCAGCACCTCCCCCGAGGCCATAACCTGCACCCCAGCGCCTCCCTGGAGGCCATAACCTGCACCCCAGCACCTCCCCAGAGGCCATAACCTGCACCCCAGCGCCTCTGGCGCTTTCAGCCCCCCAGCCTTCCAACTCCTTCCTAACTCCAGCCTGTCACCCGCCCTCCACGGTCCCCACAGCCATGCACACCCAGGAAGAGACGGGCGACCATGCACGCCCCGCCCCCAACGGGAGTGTGCTGCCCAGAGGTTCCTGCCAGCCGAGGCAGGGAGTGAAGGGCTCACGGAGCTGGCTGGGAGGCGTCACCAGGATGTGATGAACCCCCCTTATCAGTTAGGTCCTCACAAACTAGATTTTTGGCTCCTAGCTGCAAAGAGGTCCTAGCTGAAAGGTGTTTCTACACCAGGGTCACTTCCGTAAGTTGTTCTTGTTTTAAAAATAATGTAATGGTTTATTTTTGCATCATTTTTTGCCTTTTCCCATCTCAGTTGGAATCCCCGTGGGCTTCCCGTCACCAAATCACCCTGTGCCATCACCACAGTCCAGTGCATTTCCCTCCCTCCACTGTTTTTGATCCCATTCCCACTCCACCCCACAAATAATAGCTGTTCATTATTATTATTATTTTCTCCCCACTTCCAGAAGTTTTTTAAAAGGAGAAAAAATATATTTTTTCAATGTGCAAATATTTATAAAAGGACATTGGACCATCCCAGCTATGTGTCAGTTTCCAACTCAAATTGCTATCCCCGCCCCAGTTTTTTTTCATTATGAAAATTTAAAATCACCATGAACTTGGGCTAATATGGGAAGTGCTAACTGAATGTTTGTTGAATGAATAAACACTGGGCAGGAAGACGCACAGCTAGTCCTGGAAGTAACCCCAGCCCTGAGGTGCTGCCTAGCCCACAGTACCCCAGAATCCAGGGGACACCACCTCCCCTCTGCACCTCAGTACCTGAAGAATCCTGTCTTCAGGCCGTAGCTGCGAAGGATCCGTTCAGTGAAGGCACAGGTGGAACCCTACAGAGAAAAGGCAGTGACGAGGCAGCCCCACCCTCACCCCACTCAGCGGACACCCGGCCCCATCCTGCCCCTCACCTTCCCCTTGGTCCCAGTGACATGGATGATGTTCAGCCGGTCCAAATCCTCCACCTGGGACAGACAGACGAGGGCCCGCCTCAGCCACGGGACTCCCAGACAGGAGTGGGAGAGGCCGCAGGTCTTGCCCACCTACCTGCAGCCCGCTCCGCGCCAGGTACAGCTCCATGGCTTCCAGCTGTGTCTGGGGGTCACCCCGCTGGTGCTTCACCTGCTCTAGGTAGCCAGCATTGGTCTGCAGGGTGTTGAGCATGCGCACGGCATCCTGGCAACCACAGTGCCCAGGGAGCAGGTTAAGGCTCGCGAGGGGTCCGCAGGGGTAGAGGCACCCCATGCCCAGCGGCCAGGCCAGGGGCCCAGGCCTGCATGCCTCTTGCCCTGGTCTAAGAGGTTAGCACCTGGCAGCTTTCTAGCTCAGGCAGAGAAGGGAGCCTGGGGCAGTTCGGCTCCACCCTCCGAATTGCAGACAGAGCAAGTAACAGGACTAACGGGATTGCCCCTGCTTCCTGTCTGGGCACCCTAACTTTGTTCCTGCAGCAGGAATGCTGATGACTCCACTGGGCCCCTCCTACACGGGGCCAGAGGCCAGGTCTCAGAACTGGAGATTCAGACCTGAGAGTCCCTGGAGGCTTCCATGCCCACCTCAGGGTGGGGGCTCCACTTTGCAGTCACAGCAAAGAGCTGCCTGAAGCAAGCAGAAGGGGGCAAAAGGGGGCTCTGGGGAAAGAAGGGTGTTCCTGGGTCACCCAGGCAGGGGAGCCGGAAGGTGCAGCCTCACAGGGGTCCACGCAGATGGGGACCAAGTGCTGTTTATACGCCCCAGGTGGAGGTGCCCTCCTCATCAAACTGGTGCCACCTGCCTGGCAGGCATCAGGTTCTGGCCCCTGGCCCAGCGCTGGAGGAAGTGTTCTGTTTTCCAGGTATCTGCCAGCTCTCCAGCGCCTCTAATTCCTGCCTGCCCCCCAGTTCCAGGCACTGGTACCTCTAACTCCTGAATCCTGGAGCCTGCACCTGCAGATTTATACTCCTGGTCTCTCACGTATAAAAACCCTGCACCCCTTTCCCCTCCCACCTCCCCGACCGCCGGCTGGGACTCCGAAGTCACTGAAACTCCAGACCCCCAGCTGGGCCACCTTCATCCCATCCCCAGGTCCCTTCCTGCACTCTCAGGGCGGAACCCTGGAGTCTCAAGATTCCTAGATCCACGAGCCCAGCCCAGTTCCCGATCCGGCCCCGCCCCCTGGTCCCCCGGTCGCGGGCTCCGGCCCCATCCTCAGTCGGCGGAGCCCGGATGCAAAGCGAGTCAGGCCGGGCCCACGTGTCAAGGCGCGACCACCCGCCGGTACCTGATACTCCATGCCCGGCTCTTGCGGCGCGGCCCGCGCGCTCAACCCTCGCCGCCCCGCGCCCCGGAACGTTGCACGGCGCGGAGAAACGGCCGCCCAGCACATAACCGCGCGCAAGTGGCAGTGTGCGCGCGACATAGTCGCTGCGCGGGCGGCGGCAGCTAGGCCCGGAGGCTCAGGCGCTACGCCCCGCCCCTCGCCCCGCCCCGCCACCCCGACCAATCAGAGCCCGGGGCGGTGTTTCTTTGCCCCCGCCCCCGCGAGGGGCGGGGCGGGGCGTCCCCGCCCCAGCGTGCAGGGCCCGCCTCCTCCGCCGGAGCGCCCACTTCTTTCGCCACCGACCTCCAAGGACCCGGCCGCACCCCCTAAAATAGCCAGTCCAGAGCTCCGGGCCGGAACTAGTTGCGAGCCAGCGGGGCAGAATAACAGCGCTGGCGACACCTCACGGAGGTCACTGAAGCCGCGTGAAACGCCCAGCTTCAGCGCCGAGCAGGGGTCGCAGTACGGCGGGGGCTGCGACCCCTGCCCACTTGGATCTGACAGCCCCGCCGGACTGGGGGGCTGTGTGCCCCCAACCGGGCCCCGGTGTTACTGCGGCCCCGCTCGGGCCGGCAGCCTGGGAAGGCTTCCCGGCAGATGCGGCGTTCCCGCTGAGACCGGCATTTGGGGCCTGCGAGATGGTTGGCGTCTGGGAGCGGCTTCTGGGCAAAGGGACACCCCCCCCCCTGCCGGGGGAGGGTACCGCCACCTAATCTGGCGGCGGATGCCCGATCCAGCAGAAATTTGGATCAAATGTGGATAACAATAAAATAATGTTAAGAACGATAAGATCAGACTTGCACTTTGGAGGAAACGCTGCGTGGAGAATGGGTGGAGAGCCCGTCGTGGGCAGGGGTAGACACCTGTCCGAGGAGGACCCCCAAGGTCCTGGAGCTTTCAGAACCTTTTCCTGTTACCTTCTGGGCCCGGGCTGCTGGCGTGGGAAGAGCAAGACAGCGATTCTCCTTCTTCCGCTGAGATCGCCAGCGAGCTAGCGGAGGAAGGCTCCCTGCAAACACCCCTCCAGGGAGGCAGATCAAAGGCAGGCCTTCAAACACGGGGCTGCCGTGACTCCCTCCCTAGTCCCGCAGGCAAGGGAGATTGTACTTCAGAATGAGCCGGCTGTGCGTCAGGCTGATCCTGTCATTGGCTGGACTTCTGCTCCACACATCTCTGCTGGGGTGCCCCCACCCCAGCCCCGTGGAGAATAGAGAAGTCCTTTTCTCTGTTTCTTTTCTTTTCTTTTTTATAATGGTTAAAGCTCTCTCCCTACATGTCTGTGTGTAGTAGCATTGTAGCTGCGTTTAAATGATCACACACGCTAAGCTGTCTTTCTCAGCTTCCGTCTCCCTCTTCCCGCCCTCCTGCTGCACAGGTTCGTTTCCCCTGCTGAGGAGATCACACACATCTCTAAGGTTTTGTCAGTGCGCTTGGCAGTGTTTTCGCACCTTCACTTTCGCACTGGTAAGCGTCGAGGGACACCTCCCAGACATCTGCTTAGCCGTGAAGTGGCCCTTCTGTGGGCCAGACGCATTCTGCAGAGTTGCTCATTTAATCATGAGGGACCGGGGCTATCAGGCACCAAGGAACAAGGGCCAATGCTGTGTCACAGAAGCAAGCTGGGAGTCTTCTGGCCCAGAGTCCTTATTCCTAGCCTCTTGTCCCTCCCTCCTCGCCCTCCCCACCCCTGCAGGGATGGGGGATGGTGCTGTAATTCCCTGGCACTGCCTTGGCATTCTGCACTTGCCCTCTGAAGGGTATTCACATCACCTGCAGCAGTCTGCCACCGTGAATAGTGGGCATTTCGGGGGCTTTTATTTCTGCGGTAGACACACGGAGTGCAAGGGTGGGGCCCAGGGTTGTTTCTGTTTCTTTCTCCCAACAATGACTTTGCATCCCATCATTGACACCTTCGCAGTGTCAGCTGTGTTGAGAGCTGTACCCCTCTCCCAGAATGCCCCCCAGCCGCTGGGTACAGAGTACCTTCTCTGTTATTGTTTCCCCATGGGAGATGAATCTCAGCACCTTCCCATGCGTTTATTTCAGTGGACCCCTTGGCCCATCTTTCTGACGTTGCTCCTTTCCTTCCTGGTGAATACACAGCACACTGGGTACCACCAATATCACTAGTTCTGTCCTCTATCTAGGCAGTGTCTCCCCTCGCTACTACTGGTGGCCTGAGTTGGTTCATCAGTTAACTGGTCTCTGGGCCACTGGAGCCCAGCGGAGCCCTGGCCAATTCCTCCAAGAATGAGATCCCAGGAAAAACGAGAAGCCAGGATGGAGACCTCCTCCTCTGTGTAAGGTGGAAAGCCCTTACCCTGTTCCCTTGTCTACATTCCTGAATTTTTTTTAAAGATTTATTTATTTGTGCATATAGAGCTGGGGCACAGGCCAGAGGTGCAGGGCGGTGAGAGGACTCACCATAGACAGAGTGGGGAGCAGAACAGGCAGATCAGCGAAGTACACTGCTGAGGGGAGCAGCGGGTGGGCCAGGAGCGGTCTGCTGCGCCATGTGGGTCACCCCCGGGGCGGGGATTGAACTCTTGCTGCAGTGGCTTTAGCTTTTTAGCGCTTTAACCCGCTGCGCCACCAGGGAGGGCCCCACATTCCTGAATTTTTAACTGATTTCTTCCCCTTTGCCCTGAGCAAGCTAAGTTCCTGTCAACTCTCCCTCTGGCCTGTTTCAATCTCTGAGCCCCAGGCCTCAGCTGAACTCAGAAACAGAAATAGAGGTACAGACATAGAAAGCAAGAAACAGCACTGAAAATCCCAGGGATCCCAGCTGGTCTCCCCGCTGTACAAGATATGTGTGAGGAGAGCTCTGGCAAAGCCATGCAGGGGCCAGTGACAGTGGCCGGCCACCTGACCCCTGGACCTCTGTTTACTGCCTGACACATGAGAACTGTGCTACTCTGCCTGCAGAGTCAGGGGCAGGGCAATCTGCGGTGTCAACCTTAAGGAAGAAGAAATAGGATAGATTTATCTTCCTATTCCTGTATCTGTTCTTTATTAAAACTTTTCCACAGCTTTCTTTCAAATGCTGCTATTTGGGGGTGGATTCTACTTCACACCATTCAAATAATCAGAAGTCCAATAAAAGTGTAGAGTGATAAGTTTCCTCCCAGCCAGGGCTGGAACCCCGATTCCTCTCCTCCAAGGTCACCAAGCTTATGCTTCTTGTGATCCTTCCGGAGAGATTTTGTTTGCTTATAAGAAAGTGCAGACAGACACGTGTTTCTCCCCTCTGCTCACAGAGCGCAGACCCCAGACTCGAGGCTGCATTGTCCTTCACACCCTGGACCTTATCTAGGAGTAAGGGTGCCGTACCAAAGAGCCACTCTCTCCGACTTGTTTATTTGAGCTGCACAGTCCATGGTGTGGAACGCTACTGTGCGTCGGGCCGTTCTCCACAGAGGGGTGTGTTGCTGTCACAATGCAGACGTATATAATTTTTACCCTCACCATTTCTTGTATGTTTGACTGTATCTGACGAAGAAGTGCAATTGTGGGGGGCTGAAAGGATTTGCATTTTGTCACTTTGTCCCCCAGAAGGGGGGCCAGTGCCACCTCGCTGTCCCCAGACTTGTCTCCTCACCCCCTCACCAACAAAGTGTGAGCTGACCTAGATCCTTGCCAAAGGCATAGGTGGAAAATGGCTTCCTGAGGTTGTTACCATTTGCCTTTATTGGCTGAGCACTATTCTGATGTTTAGAAACCATGGGCATTGCCTTTTTACTGGAAAAGCCACAGATGTTCATAAAAGGATACAGAGAAAGGGTAAAGGAGAAAATCAAAGGCACCTGTGCAGCCCACCTGGCGAGAACCACCAGGGCCGCCACCCCCAGAGGGCTGGCCACCCCCAGAGGATAACAGCCCGCAGCCATTGTCTTAAGAGGGAAGAAGCCAGGGTGTGGAGCTGGCCCACAGCCAGATGTGTAGGCGCAGCAGGTGTGTGCGGGGAGGGGCTGAGGGACCTGCCCCAGGAAGAGGTCGGCCATTTGGTGAGAAAGGATCTCACCAAAAGATGGACCCTGAGTGGCGCTTCATGGAATCACTTATTAAGACAGCAATTGGACCTTAAAAACCGGTCTCCCCAGTGCCCTGCAATTCTGCTTCTAAACACGGCCCAGGAAACGCCTGGGGCTGTGTCTTGAGGCCTGGGTACTGCTTATCACCGTCCATCTCAGGAGGCCTGGCCTGGCCATGACAGTGACACATGGTGACGCGGGCATGACGCCCTCCTTCCTGAAACCCTTTGTCCTCTGGCTTCCCGGATATCTCCCTCTCCGGTTCTCCTCCTTCCTGGCTGGCTGACCTCTCCTTCCAGCCTTACACGGGAGGGCCCAGCTCTCCTGACGGCACCCCAGAGATGCCCCCAAGGGCACCTTAAACTGATCGCATCCACTTATCATCTCTGGCGTCTCCACCCTGAAGCCTGCTGTTCCCCAAACCTCTGAGCTCAGGAAAGAGCTCCGCAGCCCACCTCCCCCACCCCAGCTCCCAGGCCTCCACTGGCCTGTCCACTCTGCCCCCAGCAGCCAGTACCCTCCTCCTGCCCCCCACCACAGTCCACAGCCACAGGTTTGCTCTAGAGTCTCCCCGCCCTGCTCCAGTGACACACAAACGGCCTCCATCGTTTGCACAGAAACTCAGTCTTGGCTCTCTCTCCTGCTTAAAACCCTGCAGCAGCTTCCAGTGCACTAGGGTGAAATCCAAGCTTGGGTCTCACCATCTTCCCCCGCCCTGTTGGCCACCTCTCCAGCCCCAGCTGTCCCTGTTCCGGCCCGGCTCTACTCCTGTCCACACCAGGTGAACACTTAGCACTAAAGGCAATCCCTGAACCGTGCTCCAGGGGACTGATTAGCCTTATTGTGTAGGTAGGGAAACTGAGGCATGGACTTGCTCAACCTGCCACAGCCACGCAGAGGGAATGCCTCAGGCTTCAGCTGTCTGCATGGAATGTTCTTCTGCAGAAGTTCACGTGAGCAGCTCCTGGTCCTTCTGGACTGCTCAGATGACACCTCTTGCCACATTCCTGTCACGCCCACCCTTTCATACCCTTTGAGTGTTGGAACATGTGACCGTATTAGCATTTCAAAATAAGCACTTTTTCCACAAGTTG